AACGGTTCATAAGCCCTCAGGAGCTCCACGCTCTAACTGCACAATTAACCTTATAGTTCACGTTGCTAAAATTGACTCTAAGAATAGCAAACCTACCAAAAGGCAGTTATTCCCAAATTTCATGTTTATTGTTTCACGTACAGTACTGATTTATTTGAATTCCACTTTTCCTCCAAGAACCTCAGGGCAATGTACATTGTCCTCTCCCATTCCATCCACCATATCTTTGCAACAATGGATAGTGTGACTTACCAAAGATCTCTTAGTGAGATTTATATATCTAAATTAGATTTAAACCTGGCTTTCCCCAGTTCTAGTTCATCATTCAAACAGTGTGCCACAAAATATTAATGAGCAGAGAAATATTCTAGGAAAGAAGAATTCAGATTCTCATAGTGGCTCATACACTTCACCCTTACCTACAGTTTATGTTAAACCAGTGGATTTCAATGAGATAAATAAGTGCACATAGAACTGTAGCCTGAGAAGGCAAAGAATCTAGAAGGAGATACCACTATTAAAGGTGAAGTGCTTTTTAAAAAAATATTTCCAACTCCCATACCTACCACTAACCAATATCTCATAAGAAGTACTGTACCATCAGCTTTTCAGTGCTTCAGTACAATATTAACATATATATTTCCCCAATTCCACCATGTATTGCACTTTGCTAGGGAAAAATTCCAAAATTATTTGCACATCTTTTGTTTATAAATATGCAAATTGTTCATGCCTATTTTTTCATGTCAGGAGTACACTTGTTATCCAGATGTCCACTGGAGGAAAATATGTTGGTTAGAAAGAACTGCTCATATATGCATCCTTCTTTATGAAGAACTGGGATTCTTGGCATCACAAACTAAATGTGGCTTGTCACAACATGCTAAAGCTGATATTTTGTATCATGACCGGCTCATCAGGGAACGGATAGGCACATAGGCTTTCCATGTTTTCCAAATGAATATTTCATACTCTTCCATACGTATGAGCAAACTGTTCTTCTGTGAGGGTAGAGCGTGGTCATCTTATTACCCTCTAAAATAGCAGAATTTTAGCACACTGTTAAGTACTAATATTCTTTAGATGTTAGTATGCTGTCCAGATCTGAGATTAAATGTTTCTAATGGATGTACTTTGATTGTTTATCAGTGCCATCACACCTTTACTCATTTATGCAGTAGGTTGGTCTTAGTTTTATTTCTTAACTTTTTTTTTTTTCCCAAGAGCTGAGTAGAGAGTTGCTCATCCCTCCTGTCAATGCATTGAAAGAGTTAGGCTCTCCTCCACAAGGATGGGATATATATGTGCACAGATATAACAGGTTGGTAGGCAAAGTTCTGGAGACTGCTGTGCACGGTTGCAGACCCTGTATATTGACTGTGCATGTGACAACTTCAAGAATAATTTCAAGTAAGTAATCTGTTTCTTCTTTTATATCTTGCCACATCTAACTGTATGTAATGCAGATGGGGCAGGGAGCAAGGATGCCTATTAAATCAGCTCTCTTCAGTCCATATCTGCTGGAATTTAGAACTGTAGTTGAGCCAAAGCCTACCTGCTATAGTCATAATCAGCCTTCTCGGGATTCTTTTTTCTGATTCGGTCTTACTGAAAGACTCTGCTCATGTGGAATAATTGTACATGCTTGATGTGTTTCACAGGTTAGCTCCTGTGGTCTTGCATGCCCTGGTGTAGAATGCTCCCATTTTAGGTTGATGTTAGTTTAGGTACACATAACAAATGTTTTGTATGGCAACTTATAGAGGAAGTTGGATTCTTGGTTTCTTCTGATTCAGTCCGGCATGATAAAATCTATTGGGGCTTCTATCCCAATTATTATGTTTGTTAAAATCTTGCTATAAAGGCAGTAGTACAGGAAGGTATGTTTTTGTCCCAAGTTCATGTTACAGTTTTTGTAAGCTAAATACTCTGTGTTCTTCATTTTGTGATAGTGGTTAAGTGATGTGGAAATTTGCCTTTTTGCTTGTGCTCAGCAGCAAGTTAGGAAAAGGGAGGAAGAGTAATTTTATTTTTAAAAAAAGGCTTTTGTTGCAGCCTAATGCCTTTGGAGTTTAAAAATAATGACTTCAGTGACTGGTTTTTTTCACTGTTGCTAATACACCGACAGGTTATATTTGGTGTAATTTATTGTATTTTGGGTTTTGTCAATGTATTATGTGTATATCTTTAATATGTTTTAATTTATTTTATGCCAGAGAACAAAATTTAAATTGAATAAGCTGATTTCCTTTTCTCTTTTTTTCCCCTGGATGTATTGGGGGGAAAAAGGTAAATCAAGGATGCCAAGCAGGCTTGGTTCAATGGCTAAGATTACCATTGTATTACAGTGTAATGCTATTCTAGGCCTTGTCTCAACATTAGAACACACATACTTGAATAAAACTGTTAAACCTTAATTGTACTGTGATATTTTCATTTCTTCACAAAGTATTGTTTAGAAATATTTTTTAAAATGTGCTATTATATGAATTAATAAATTAATCATTTTCTGTCATAAAAGACTAAAATACGAATCTAAATCTGTTCACAAAGATTTGGACAAGATAAAAATTATATCGTTCTGAGCTCAGTCAGTATAGGTAACTTCTGAAAAATAGCTTCCCTTCAGTATTCTGTGAATCTACATCTTTCTGCTAATTGTTTTCTCAATCTTAATACTGAACATAATGGTCTGATTTATTTTAGGAGTATTTAGATAATTAGTTATGTAACAGTTAGTTAAAACTTACTGTTTTGCGACCAAATAGAGTTCTATAATACAGCTAGCTAGTTCTTTGTTACTGTCACTGACCAGAATTCTACAAGATAATAAACCAATTAAACAGTTTCTATTTCAAATATATTTTTTAAACCCCATAAAATTGTAACTAGATCATTGAGGCAATCAAGGTATGTCGGGTTTTACAAACTGTAAAACAAAATTTTGCCACATTCAAGGAAATGGAATCATACTGGTCCATCAGAAGTAGCGGTATATAAAATAAATCAGAATTGTCTGGGTACTTCACCAAGTAGGGAATTATAAAGCAGGCTCTTGCATTCTCACAGCATAATTAGAAAATGTGACTATACAACTATGTGACTGGCATTGCAAATTGACCAACTTAAAAATTATCAGATTTCTATTTTGTTCTTGTAGACATGCAGTGATTCTGAGTAAAAATACAGTAGTTGAAAAGAAAATACTTCATGCAATACAAAGTCAAATAATGGAGTTCATTACCACAGGTTGTAGTGATAGCCACCAAATATTACAGCTGTAAAAAGATATTAAGCAAATTCATACATATTAGATTATCAATTACTTATTTTATATACTGGTTGCTGGAAAATGCATAAAGAATGCAAGTATTTGTAAGCTGTACTGGTACAACCATGTTTTGAAGCTGGCATTTTCCTTTCTAAATGAATAAAGTGTTATTACAATTCATGTGCCCTGCTTGTGGGCTCCACATAGACATCTTTCATAAGCATCACTTTGCCCAGATGGATTCGCCTTGGCTGGAGATTTTCAGGCAAGGTCTGAATGGCTGCCTCATGGATGAGTTAGTGGATTTCAGCACTTAGCCAAGAGTTGAAGTTGATGACTATAAGGTCCCTTCCAGTTATGATTCTAGTTGGTTATGGAATACTGGGTTTTTAGATCCAGTGATGCCCTTCTATTCTGTAAGGAGAAGTAGAGAAGTAGGACTTCATTATATGTCCAGAACTAGAACCAAAAGCCAAGAACCTTTCAGGTCTCACTTTTCATCATACTTCTCTAGCCAAAGCACTTCTGAATCTTCTTTCCTTCTTTCCTTTTTCCTTCTTTCCTTCTTTCCTTCTGTCCTTCCTCCCTCCCTCCTTTTTTGATTTGATTGATATGGCCACCCATCTTGTGGCACACAACTCTGGGCAGCTAACATGGTAGGACTGGCAAAAAAAGCTCACTGTAATGGTATGTGGGAATGACCTTGGGAGACAGAGCAAAGAGATGCAGCCAAAGGAATGGTCAGATAAAAGGCAGCTCAGCCCACAGGCTGTTGTGATGCCAGAGGTTGAGGCAAATTCTGCCCCAACTGGCATGGCATTTTGCAAATTGTTCATCTCTGCATCTACCTTCTGCTGGTGCTGCAACAACACTGCTGCTAAATGTTCATCGGGTAGCATAGACCCCTGGGGATTGGAGGCCATTCCTAAAGTTCGTCTTTTTGGAAGGGAGTATGCAACTTGCAAGATTGATGCCAACCTTACAAGGTAAACCAGACAGGAAACACGACCAGATGAGCTAATTCTACTTGACTGTATCTTGTAGAAGTCTGAAAGTACATTTTTCCCCCGTCTCCTTTACAGGTAGTCCTTGACTTACGGCCATTTGTTTAGCGACCATTCAAAGTTACGACAGTGCTGGAAAAAATGACTTACAGCCAGTCCTTACACTTAAAACCATTGCAACATCCCCATGGTCATGTGATCAAAATTTGGGTGCTTGGTGACTGGCATGTATTTACAAGAGTTGCAGTGTCCCAGGGTCATGTGATCACCATTTGCAACCTTCCCAGCCAGCTTCCAACAAGCAAAATCAATGGGGAACCGCATGATTCACTTAAACATGTGATTTGTTTAATGACCACAGTGATTTGCTTTATGACCACTGCAAAAAATGTCATAAAATTGGGTGCAGTCACATGATGCTTTGCTTAATGATCACCCTGCTTAACGATGAATTTTTCAGTCCCTATTTTGGTCGTAAGTTGAGGACTACCTGTACAGTCCAAGAAACTAGGGAGGGTCTCTTCTGAGCCTCTTGCCCCACCCACATTCATGCTACGGGCTCAGCTGCCTTTTATCTGACTGTTCCCTTGGCTGCATCTCTTTGCCCTGTCTCCCACGGTCATGCCCTCATAACCATTACGTTCACTTTCTGACTTCCAGACAGAATCTCCTGAATACTTCTCCTTTGCACTGACTTCTGCTGCTGC